TGTGTCCTTCCAGATGCAAGGCAAGGTATGTGGCCAGGCAGAGAGACAGATAGAGGCAGTCTGGTCTAGTGGCTGAAGGTTCTGGGCTTGGAGTGGAGAGACCCAGGTTCCAGTTCCCCATCAGCTTCCTTTTGTGTGCATTAGGAATGAGACACCCTTTGAAAAGGGGGCAGGTCTCAGATCATGCCATCCTGGCCACCTTGATTGTTTTTACCCCCTTGTGGATACCCCTGTTATTGGGTCTAAATGCACCCCATTTCCATTCCAGCTTTACTGAAACATGGCTTCTCCTATTACACATGCAAGCTTGAAATAGTCAAAAGAATATTGAAGAGCCATATAAATGAGTGTTTGAGTTCAGCAAACCCACCACACTCGGTTATTTCTAATCTGCATTCACATGTTAAATGTGGTTAATATTAACCATGGCTAGTTTTTGTGTGTCTCAATGTATTGGGTGGACCCCATCTCTCTGGTTAGTTTATGAGTCAGTCCAGAAACTCCAATAACCAGGCTGGGCAGAGTGTGTGTGTGATTGCAGCCAATGCAAATGAAATGAATCTGGCTAGAAGTAGACTAAAACGATGTTTCTCATCTCTTCTTTCTCCCCTTGCATAAAAACTTAGCGTTCTTCTTTGCAGGGACCTTGTTTTTTAATCTATTTTCAGCCAGTTCTATCTATCTTAGAAATGTCTTGGCAAAACAGATCGGCATGAATAAAATGTACCAAGCCCGGATGAAGTCAGTGGCTCTCCGTATCTCACGAGGCTGCAGAGAATAGAAGCAATTTCACTCAGAGAGCACAAAGCCATTCCATAAAGAAGCTTCAGATACGAATGTCTTCGAATGCCAGTGTAAAATCTTCCCATACAAACACAACAAAACCAGAAGATACACATCAGTGATACAATCCTTGGCAAAGACGTTCAGCTGGTGACTCCCAGGACACTTCCACACAATTTTTTTAGCAAGTGTACAGAAGTGGCCGCTGCCAGTCTAACCTAATACCCTCTTGTGCCCTGGCATTTAGACAAAAATAATGGCTGACAGGACTCATTCTTCTGCCATCTCTGCAGAGAGCAGCTTAACCTCTCTATTGCCCTGATAAATTGTTCAGCCTGAGAGTGTTTGGGGAGAAGCGTTAGATTCAGAAGGGAAGTCTAGAACCCAGGATCATCTGAGAAAGCCAGGCAGGATTTGCCAAGTTGCAAAAGAAACCAGGAGAGGGAAGAATTGGGTTATTCTAAAAACTTTGTAGACATGAAGGTTACCCAAACCCACTTGGTGTTTCCTGGCTTCTACGTCGCAGAAAATATCCTCCGCTTTCCAGGCATCTGGGTGGCCAATCTTCGCACGCTCTGCATATACTGGGACTAGAATTCCCAGAAATTCCCATTAGCCTGGTGGCTGGAAAGTCTGGAAGTGATGGTCTAGCACAGAAGGGAGGCAGAGCCTGCTTACCTCCAAACAAGACAAAGCT